AAGAACAAGGAAGCCCCCATTGCTGGGGGGGTTTGGGGAGTAGGAACCTTAAACCCTAAATGAGCATAGTTTGGGTGGCTGGGGTGGGACCACCAAGCTGCGCAAGATAGGGTGCGCGCCCTTAACTCTAGAGAAAAAGCGCAGGGCCTGTGCGCGTCCACTGATGCACCCTAAACCCTAAACCCCAAACCCTAAACCCTAAAACCCCAAAACCCCAAACCCTAAACCCAAAATGCTAAACCCCACACCCCAAACCCTAAAACCCCAAACCCCAAACCCTAAACCCCAAACCCCAAACCCTACACCCTAAACCCTAAAACCCGCACCCCAAACCCTAAACCCTGGACTCCCTGGTGACGGCCTGGGTGTCTGCCTTGTCTGCGGCCCCTTCGGCTGAGGCCTTTCTTGAGGCGTTTGGATGCGTAGGAAGCCCAGAAAAGCCAATAGACAATCACTGTTAGAGTTGAGGATTTATAGGGTTTAGGTTGAAGGATTTAGGTTTTAGGGTTTTTGGTACAGGGTGTAGGGTACAGGATTTAGGGTTTAGGGTCTATAGGGTTGAGGGTTAAAGGTTTTAGGGTCTAGCGGCCTACTATCAACGTAATGACCAGATTCGAGACACTAGCATCATTTAGGGCCGACTGGGGGGTCCTGCCCAAACCCATTAACAGTCCATAATTGGGGGGGGGGGGTCATATTCAGGGCTCTATAACACTACACTATAAATGTTATCCAACTGTTCGTGGGTGGGGCCAGTACCCAAGGCATATCCCTCAATGTGTGTATTGCGTTCTTGGAGAAGCGTGGGGCTGAAAGTCTGCAAATGGTTTGTATGTCGCAGATACTGTCTTGAAAATCATTCCTTTGACCTTCTTATATAAAGTCGCACTTGTATGGCATGTACCTGTGGTGTACCCACTGTATGCATGCATCACATATCATGATGTTTCTCTGCGCAAGCAAACTGACTAGACAAACCCTGGGAATACGCATGGACTGTCAGCAGATCATATAGCCCCCTTGAAGGATTCTAGAGTGCTTTCTTTCGAGAATTCCTCATATACTCAAGAATCAACAAGACCATCTAAACATGCATGCTGCGAATTCGAACTCCAAGCGCAACCGCACCCTCTTGGTAGAACAAAGGGCTTTTCGGGGGCTACAGTTTTGGCTAGTTTTTTGGGCCTGGGGCCACTGTTCTACCTGCTGTTGTGGTCCAGGTACCTGGAATCCTAGACCTAGAACCCTGAATCTCAACCCGAGCTGTTGCGCTCCCCAGCCACTAAAACAAAGATCTCATGGTAGGATGGCGTATACGGCAACCTAAACCCTAAACCCTAACACTCAGTTACCCAGCTTTGAGCAAACACTCAACAGGTTCACCCTCAGCCCTCTTGGGCAGTGGGGACAAATAAGAAATTAAATAACTTCATGGTTCCCTAGGGTTGTATCCCTGGGTTGGGGGGATTCTTTTTAAGGAGCCCTAGAAGACTACATTGGCATCTTCAAGGGCTGTCTTAGGGCCACATTGGGAAACCTTTTGTTCACGCTGATGATGGGATGATGGTGTCGGGAGCCCATATGGCCTTAAGCTGGAGACGTTGCTCCAGACATCGTTTCTGCTAGCCGCATATGACTTCGAGTGCAAGAATCCGAGTTGTCCTCTGGCCGCTGGAAGACATCTCTGGGTAATTGGACTGGCATCGGTGCGGACAGCCGCCCCATGGATGCCGCTGCTCTTGTGCCTGCCGCTGCAGTTGTAGTTCTTGTTGGTGCTGCTCCTGCAAACCTTGCACTTGCTGTGCATGATGGCGCCCTTGCTCTTCGTTGGCTTGCAACAGCTGCTGGTTCACCTGATTCGCCCATAACAAGTGTTGGCGCATTTTCTGAGTAAACGTGCTACAGGCCTTACCCTGCTTGCTAAATAGATCAAACTCAACCTAAGGCCTAACCTAACCATACCCTAGAACGTGAATCCCCAACCTCAATTCAGCGGCTGGCGCCCACTGAGAGGCCTTCACAAGGCTTACACCCTACGCTTGATTGGAGGGGCTTCGATGTTTCTATACAGCCTATCCTTACCATCATGTTGTCTGCACAACACAAGACTTATTCAAGCCTGTATAGGAAATGCCTAGCTCTGTGCTGGAAGCCCTTGCTCCCCCAAATCTCTAAAGAGAACAATCCACTTCAGACCTACAGCGCCTGACAGGTTATCAGAATTCTGGCCCCTTTTTAGGTTCCCGGCACAATGCGGCTTGGAATATAAGCGCAACCCGAAATCTTACCATACGGTAATACGGGTACTCCTGTGATAACTACCAACCTGACAATTGCAGCAAAGAAAATTGACTACACTTTGCACACATCTGGCTCCATTCAAGAACCTCAATTTCCGAGTCATGTGGGTTTTGTCTAGTTAGGCAAGCCCAAAACCCCTAAACCCTAAAACTCTACACCCCTAAACCCCTACACCACTAAACCCTAGACCCTAAACCCCTAAACCCTAACCCCTAAACACCTACACCAATAAACCCTAGACCCTAAACCCCTGAATCCTAAACCTCTAACCTCCCAAACCCTAAACCCCTGAACCCCTGAACCCCTGAACCCCTGAATCCTAAACCCCTGAACCCCTCAATCCTAAACCCCTGAACCTCTGAACCCCTAAACCCTGAACGCCTGAACCCCAAAAACCCTGAAAGCCTGAACCCCTTAAAACCTTAAACCCTAACACTCTAAACCCCTAATCCCTCAACCCTAAACTCGTAAACCTCTAAACCCCTAAACCCCTAAACCTTAAAGCACCAACGCCCTAAGCCCTAAACCCAAAGATTCAACTTGGGCCTCAGCTGGGGGTGCCGGTGGATCACCTGCCTGCACAAGCTGCGCTTATTGGAGTCCCTTTTTGTATACCTTGGGTTTAGGGTTTAGGTTTTAGCCCAAACCCCCGTAAAAGTGTTTAAGTCTGAGGATTTAGGGTTTAAGGCCAAAACGCCTTAAAAGTCTTTAGGCCGTTGGGTTTAGGGTTAGGGTTCAAGGCCAACATTCCCTTAAAAAAAGGAGTGATGTATTAGGTGGACACCAAGCAAAAGGGATCATAGGGCATAATGGTGGTTGTATGAGGATCCTCTTATATTCCTACTATACCACTATTACAGGGTGGGGGATCCACCTACGAAACGTACACGTTGCTTCAAGACCCTAAGGGTCCAGGTATCCAAATCTTACGGCCGTAGGTATCCAAAAGCCATCCGGATTCTGGTCCAGATCAAAGTATTTCGGACCTATTAAAGCCCCATCATTGAGGTACTTGGACCCTCTAGGAAAGTTGAGGGTTCAATACAAAAAAACATGGTTCGCATACGCTTTGCCGAACCATCATAGGCCCCTTCAAACGGACGGTAGTCGCCCTTTTTGGGCTTTCAAGTTCCTTTAGTTGTGGCAGGGTATCCCCCGCCAGAGAAACTAGGTTGCTGTTAAGGA